ACGCGTAGTTTGGCTCCCGTGCTTTGCTCTTTGCACAATAAACCGTTATCAACTTTCAATGTTTCGTATTGCGACCATAAACTCTTAACTGCATAATTACATTCCCCAATTTCTTTGAAAAGCGGTTTCTTGCCATTGAATACCCAAGTCTTTACCAAGGATATGTTTTCATCTTCTTGTTGTAGCACCAACAGCGTCTTATTTTCATCACTCCCATCATTTATACAGATAACTGCTTCATTCGCCTCTATAGGTGGTGCTTGTGTAACAACATTAACACGTACTAGTTTCTTCTCCCAGTCTTTGTCAAAGCCACATTGTTTACATGGCATTCTGCTAAGTGCATCAGCATTTCTGTGTTGATTTCCCGGTCGGTGCTTAATTTTCATGTTATACGAACTAAGGACTTCCAGCCACCTCGCAAGCTGTCCTTCTGCGTTCTTAAAATTCATTAACCACTGCAGAGAGCTATGGTCAGTTCTGACAACAAACGTTCTTCCATATAGAAAATGCCTAAAATGCTTAACAAAATGAACTACGGCGAGTAACTCTTTTCGAGTTAAGCAATATTTACGCTCGGTCTTCGAAAGTGTACGGCTACCATAAGCAATAACCGTTTCTTTTCCGTCTATTTCCTGGGACAGGACTGCTCCAATTGCAGACTGACTTGCGTCCGTATCGAGTATAAAAGGTCTCGAAAAATCTGGATGTGACAGTATTGGCGCCTCGAGGAGCTTGGATTTCAACGTCTGAAACGCATCTTGACACTCCTCTGTCCACAGGTATTCGCGACCCTTTTCTGTTAATTTGTGCAGACATTTTGCAATGCCTGCAAAATTTTCAATGTATCTTCTATAATATCCGCACAGGCCGAGAAAAGAGCGCAACTCGCTTACATCTTTCGGTTCTGACCATTGTTTAATAACCTCCACCTTTTGTGGATCCGTTGCCACACCATCCTCACTTATTACATGTCCAAGGAAGGACACTGATTTTGCGAACAACGAACACTTTTTGGGTTTTAACTTTAACCCGGCGTCAATCAATCTATAAAAAACTTGTCGCAAATTAGTTAACATCTCTTCAAAATTTCTGCCGACTACAATTATGTCATCCAAATACACCAAGCAAATGTTCCACTGTAGTCCAGCCATAACTCTTTCCATTAACCGCTCAAATGTTGCCGGAGCACAGGCGAGCCCAAACGGCATTTTACGAAATTGGAAAAGTCCACGCTGTGTCGCGAACGCAGTTTTAGGGCGGTCTCTCTCTTCTACCTCTACCTGCCAATAACCTGAGCAAAGGTCTAAAGTTGAGAACCACTTGTTACCAGCTAGCTGCTCCAATGAATCGTCTATTCGAGGTAACGGATACGCGTCTTTTACCGTAAGGTCATTGAGTCGACGATAATCGACACAGAAGCGAGTCGGCCCGTACAATCCCTGATGACCATGGCCCTTCAGACGGCTCGATCACGCCTCGTTCTAACATATTGTCAATATGTTTGTCAATTTCGTCGCGCATGGCTACCGGTGTCCGCCGAGGTGGTTGTTTGACAGGATAATTTGTTCCGGTGTTGATGCGATGGCGTACAATACTAGTACATCCGAGATCGTTATCGGACAGCTCAAAAAGCGACTTGTATTGCTGCAAACAGTTAGTAACTTGATGTCTCTGCTTCTCAGTCAAATGGGAACTTGCTTCATTGACCAGCTTCTGCAGTTCATTGTCCAGTTTTGGATTTTTGTGTTCTTTGCTGGTGTTTCCAGTCATGGTGATGACATCTTCTACTGGACTTATTTCTCCAACAATGGTTCCGGCTCGTATAGTTGTAACATTGTTTGAAACATTTAGCAATCTAATTGGCACATGTTCTCGCGCTTCAACCAGGGTCTTTGCCAGTAATGCTTTGTCCCTTTTTACAAACTTCTCGCATGGCTCAATAATGCCCATCTGCAGTTTACTGGTTAACGTATCATAGTCATTAATCCTACCACGTGAAAAAGCCTCTGTTCCTGGTGGTATACTGATATCCTCTGCGGCTGAAATTCTGTAACAGCCTATTTTGCCAGAAAACGCCATAGAATATGTGTTACTTTTGCATTGAAGGGTTTCCTGTTGTAAATCTATTTTGCAGTTATTCTTTTTCATAAAATCTAAACCCAGTATCCCGTCAATAGATATGTCGGCAACCAAAGCTTCAACTATAAACTTGTCTTGTCCAATCTTTATACAGAACATTCCCTTACCAGCTATGCTCAGCTCTGTTCCATTTGCCGAAATAATGACTTGGGTAATTGGTTCAAGATCCGGTCGTTCCTTCTTCTGTATTCTGTAAAATTGTCTATTAAAAACTTGGTAGGCTGATTATGAACTGCGACGTCAATGTACGCACCAGCTTCCATGTTTGAAGCATCTGCTCCCACGTTAATTTTTCTTCTTTCCATCCGCAAACAAATCGAAAGTGAAAGTAAAACAATGTGTAAATAAATGAAGGGAATGAATGATATTTCTTTCTGTTGGACTTTACAAATGGATTATCAAATAAGCAAGAACCAGGTAAGTTTGCAAATTCATCACAATAGTAACAAATTGATCGTGCATGTGTTAACATATTCATAACGATACTTGTATTCATTTTCAGTTGCGGTATAAAATCAACATTAGGTCAGTGTCAGAAAATATCAACTTTTTTGTATTCGGCACGAAACAGTTAAAGGGCTTAGTAAACCTCGCACTTCTCAAGTTTCTAAGCCTTATACAAAAAGTTGATAATTTTCCGACATTGACCTTATATTGTACATCAACGATACTACGATACTAGGCTTATAAACTTGAAAGATGGATAAAGACGGTTTGCTAAACCTGGATGGTTGGACGCACTGCATTTGAAAATCTGATAAAGTTAAGTTAGAAACACAATTATTTATCTCCTTTTTCAAACATCGACTATCGAGAATGACACAAATAACCACAGACATTTGATTCAATATAAATAAAATTGAGAATGGAAATGGGGAATGTGTCAAAGAGACAACAACCCATAGAGCAGACAACAGCCGAAGGCCATCAATGGGTCTTAAAGTCTTTAAATAGAAACAAGCATCTATGAATCTGTAAAAGCTTCGAAAAAAAAAATCAATCAAAGATCTACAATTACATAGTAACACCACATTAAAGTAAAAAACATGAAAAATTCAAACACATTTTGAAAGATTATATTAAGCGTTCTCAAATTATATTATATCAAATCGACATTAAATGCCATTTAAAAAAATAAAGGACCATAAATCCTGAACGACAAAGGTGAAAATTGTCAATATCAATCTTGACTTTCATTTTGTTAGCATTAAAAAAATATCTTTATTACAAAAACCTTGGTTGGAGAGCTTTCAAGTTATTGCACGGAAAAGACATAAAGCGCCCCTTGCATATTAATCGGGGACCATAAAATTGAAAATCGTCTATATCGACATTTTACCTACATCTTGTCATAAGTAGCAACATATCATAATTTAAAAAGTATTGGTTGAACGGGTTTCTTTAGATTGTTATACTCATAAAAATAAGAAGATGTGGTATGATTGCCATTGAGATAACCCTCCACCAGAGACCAAATGACATAGAAGTTAATAACTATAAGTCACCGTACAGCCTTCAACAATGAGCAAAATCCATACTGGAAAATAAAAAGAAATACTGCGGGAAAGGCATTAAAAAATTGGTCTTTCTGTCGTTGAAGATGTAAAACAAAGAATCATGTTACAGTCCACTGTTATTTAAATCTTTGAATCCACTTTTTCATATATTTCACGATAGAAAAACATCACCGATCATTAAATATAACATGTTGGCGATGTTTCATGGAATTTGCCATCAAAAGGGTGACTGATCAACAGAAATTCATTCATCCGGCATTAAAAAAGCCATGCTAAAGTTGGTCAAATTTTCTCGACCATCTGCATGGTCAACCAACTTTTCAGAACCTGCCTTAAATTGTATTGTGTTTATATCTTTTGTCCTGAATATGCTAATTAAAGAACTTACTATTGAATTGTAGCGAGTAGCGAAATTGAAGTCAGTTCCGTAATCTAGCTCTTAGATTTTAATTTGTTAAGTAGAAAGTTTTCTTTTATTGATTACAAATTTTGATTTATTTCCTGAAATAAAGCATTTGCAAATTAACAATTGCACAAATTAATTTAATTTTGGATCACGACTTTCTTAGTTTGAAATGTCAAAGAATAGAAATCTATTATGGTTTCATAAAAAGGTCCAAATATAATGTAATGCAAGGTAGTAAAGACGAGCGTACGATGTAAACATCATGTTTGACTCCCGAACTGTAAAATGTAAAAAACAATAGTATTTTTAAAAATACGTGGTCTCTAAAGGCTTTTTTTATATATAGTTGGAGATTATGATATAATATAACTCACAAATGTTATAGAACCTCAAATCACTCATTGCCGATAAACGTATTTGAGGAATCATTACTGACAAGATTGTTAATGTGAAATAAGTGACATTTCAGAAACAGGGGATGAACACCACTGTATCTTGGAATGTCAAGAAATGTAAAACAAACAAGAATGTGTCCATAGTACACGGATGCCCCACGCGCACTATCATTGTCTATGTTCAGTGAACCGTGAAATTGGGGTAAAAACTCTAATTTGGCATTAAAATGAGAAAGATCATATCATAGGGAACATGTGTACTAAGTTTCAAGTTGATTGGACTTCAACTTCATCAAAAACTACCTTGACAAAAACTTTAACCTAAAGCGGGACAGACGGACGAACGGACGAACGAACGAACGGACGAATAGACCGAAAAACATAATGCCCTCTACCATCGTAGGTGGGGCATAAAAAAAGAAAATTCACCAAGAACAATATTTTAATGCAAGACTTGATGTCTTGTAGCTACAGACTAGAAGGAAAAAGTTGTATACATCCTCGTCCGTTGGTGTCTTGCGGATAATTGTCTCTTTGAAATCTTACCACATTTTATTTATATAAGCTATATTTTACACTACAAGATGTCGACATGAAATAGACAATGCACATTTAACACGAATCAGTGAGTTATTTCGCTAAATAAGCTTTCCATATAATAGAATAATTATGTTCCATAAAAATGAATGACTTTATAATGTCTTATATAAAATAAATTCTCGCGAGGGTTTATCCGACAGACAGTCCAAACAACGGAAGAATAATTGCTAGAAGAACCATTTTCCAATCTGAACTGAACAATCCAGGATACAGATAAATATTGATGGCAATTACTGTTACAATGAAAAGCATTCCAACCACTCCTCCGGCCTAAAAAGTAATAACAATAATAAAGAGTTATAAAGAGTTATAAAGAGCTACGACGGGTGCCACATGTGGATCAGGATATTCTTACCCTTCCAGAGCACCTGAGATCCCCCCGGATTTTGGTGGGGCTCGTTTTGCTCAGTCTTAGTTTTCTATGTTGTGTTTTGTATGCTGTTGTTTGTCTTTTGGTCTCAAGGCGTTGTCAATTTATTTCCGACTTGTGAGTTTGAATGTCCCTTTGGTATTTTTCGCCTCTCTTTGCTATGGCGTTGTCAGTTTATTTTCGACTTGTGAGTTTGAATGTCCCTTTGGTATCTTTCGCCTCTCTTTGCCATGGCGTTGTCAGTTTATTTCCGACTTGTGAGTTTGAATGTCCCTTTGGTATCTTTCGCCTCTCTTTCATAGTAACTGGCCTCTCAAGTTATCTTTATTTTACAATTTTTTAAACCTATCTGAATGGTACATTTTGTTGATAAATACTTGAAGGTATTGTTTGGTCACATGACCTTTCTATCGTGTTTCAGTAAGCATAACAACTAAATTAAGGATTCTTGTTTGGTGCACATTAAAATAAAAGAATACCTTTGTAATATATGACGCGACCTTTGGAAGCTTCTTCAAGATAACTATTCCAATAGCAACAGGAACAAGTATCGAAACCAAGGAGATGACTATGTTGACGTATGGCACAGTAAACGTAGATGAAATGAAACTACGGGAATACAGCCACAAGTTCAATGGCATCATTCCTATTGCAACTGTTGTGTCATGCAAACGCTGAAATTAGATGGAAATGACTGAATTATTCTTTTTGCATAATCATAATAATAATATTTATATATTTATACATTTAACATTTAATAATAAAAAAGGATACTAATAATAATACTTAACTGGTGTATGGAGAATACCCTTCACGTGTGGCTACTCACGATCATACTATCATTAGTTATAAGTTGTTGTACTTCAATAGATATAAGAAGATGTGGTATGAATGCCAATGAGACAACTCTCCATCCAAGTCAAAATTTATAAAAGTAAACCATTATAGGTCACAGTACGGTCTTCAACACGGAGCCTTGGCTCACACCGAACAGTAAGCTATAAAGGGCCCCAAAAATTACTAGTGTAAAACCATTCAAACGGGAAAACCAACGGTCTAATCTATAGAAAAAACGAGAAACGAGAAACACTTATGAACCACATCAACAAAGAACAAGTACTGAACATCAGATTCCTATTACAGTTTTATTTCAAATGAATATGAGACCTATGATACATCATGTGGAGTCGTATGCACGGAAGGCCCATTTTTGTATCATTGTCAACAAGTGGAAACTCGAACCTCATAAACATAGTTCCAAAACATTACTGCTTTTTGAAATTGCATATACTTCTCTAATATAAGCAGTTTTATTATCATAATAACTCCACTGAGCATTGCAAAAAAGAAACAACGCCGCTGTCCATATTGAGGAAAACATAAAGATATGAAGAAGACCATCTACTTTCGGTCGTATCATTAATCCAAAGTTTACTAGGATAAATGACATGTAAAGCGTAGAAAAATCAAAGGTTGTGATATTACTGCAAAATTGTTAAGATTGTGACTGAAAATTTTGGCGTAGTATTAAAAGAACTATTAAGAATCCGCATCTGATTTACACCGCTGGTTGAATATACATCATCACAATATTTCTGAAGGTCATCTTTTACTGTGGTTAAAATGGTGTAAACTTAAGAATGATGTTTAGTCGAAAATATTGACAACCCAGCTATATATCACTCTTAATAATGATTGTTGGTGAAATTTAGGTACACAGTATAAAATTGGCGATTTTTCATCGTCCTTTTTTATGTTAATTTCTAAAATCCCGACTTACGTGAATGATCTAGAGATATATTTGGATTCCAAATTATGCTGTGAATTCCATATTCTTTAGTGAGGCATTCTAAATATTGTTTTTTGCATACAAAAACAATATTGTTCGAGGTTTTGTCAGCTTAAACAACAACAATTTTGTCTGCTTGAACAACAACATTTTTGTCTGCTGGAACAACATTTTTTCTAAAAAGAAAGGATAAAGCATCCACATTCGTGGGCTTCTTGAAAGAGAAAAAACCCATAGGCTCATAGTACATCGTAGATTTTGAATGCCCTTCTAAATGAATGACCGCACAGATCCATTGAGATAAAGTGTCAGGTTTTGGTTCATCTGATTCGCGCTTCAATCATTTTCTACCATAGTCCTAAACTGCATCCACCAGTAACCTGAAGTTCTTGTTCCAATTGATGGGCCCCGGAAGTCCATATTTCAGGCCGTTTGCTAACAACTCTCTAAGTTGTTCATTGTTTAAGATCCCACGATGTCTGCAGTTATAATGCGACCAGCTGGACTATATTTGAAGGGGGACGATGAACAAGATCAATTGGGAGGATTGATTTAACATCCCTCAGAGTAAATGTCTCTAATACCCTCGTGTTGTGGAAAATGTTAGAAACAATAGGTTTGTTGAAGGTATATGAAATGATAGATGTAATTATACCTTTGAGGTAATCATGTATTGTTTTCTGTACAGATTTTTGGTGGAAAACTGTGCTTATATTGATGGCATCCAAACTCTTATTAGTAAAATCTACACAAAAAAAACCCCACGTTTTCCATCATGTTTGGAAGGAATTGTCACTGGTTTTAATAGCCTATGGTTAAAGATGTCCATAATTATTGCAACTAATCTGAACATAGGAGAATTATTAACAACAACGGGAGTGTTTTGGGCCTCTTGAAACAGTGAATTGAGCTTTGATAAAGGTGTGGAAAAGAGCTTAGTTTGAATATAGTGAATTCCCAAAGGTTTATGAACCGAGGATAACAAACTATCTATAGACACGGTGTGAACTGAAGGTTGTGTATATGTTCGATAACCGTGAATCCTATTGTGTCGACCAGAGATTTTGAATAATTTTAATTTGATGACATCTGTGATGATAGTCAAGTTACTTTGAAAAAAGGTATCAGTAATGGGTGTACTGCAAGTTTTAGTTTTTCCGATTACCTCCTGTGGACGTAAATGAGGGCGACAGTAGTTTATCGATGTTCAAATCTTGTAAATCAATTAGGGAGTCACAAATCAAAGTAACAAACAAAGACTGAGTAAATCGCATGAACTCTAATAGGAGCGAAACCTGTTGCGTCGACAAGATAACCGTCTCTTGTTATGCATGCATCACCCGTCATGCGGACACATAATTGGCAAAATTACAGATAAGACGACTTTACTGGTGTCCAGTGATCTGAGACTGCAAAAACATGTCACTAGTGAGTTGAGACACCGATACATCGTATCAGTCAACCAATTCGTGATGGTGACTGTAAACGAAATGTCTTTATTTGCATGAACAACACAACGTGTGCCACATTCGGAGCAGGAACTGACCTTCCGAGGCACCTGCGTTCACCCCCAGGCTTTTGGGGTAAGCGTTGCTCTATTTTTAGTTTTCTATGTTTGTAATTGTTGTTTTTTTCTTTTCGTCGTTTTTCTTTTTGGCCATCGTGTTGTCTTTTTTATGGAACGTGATTTTTAATTGTCCCTTGGTTTCGTCTCTTTTTTTTTTAAGAAACCCGAAGATTATCGAATTCATTATAATACTTTTGTTTTCTTTATACACTCAAATGATTTATTTTAATATAAATACATAAAACATTACCTCAAACACACATCTCCGGATGAATAGAAAGTAATCAAATTAGATAAACTTCCTCCAGGACAGGTTGCTAGAATAAGTAATCCCAGTGCATCATACTTATTCAATTGAAACGCATGCGCAAATCCAAATGCCGTTAACGGATATACTATAAATTGCAATACTATTCCAATAATGACAGGAACTGGTTTCTTTATCTGCTGCAGTAGTTTTGTAGGTTCTATGGTACAACCGAGCGACAGCAATATTACGGCTAAAAGGACGATCATTAGTATGTCTGATATCTTTTTAATGAACTTTTTAGTCGGATCGCCATCGTCTGCCGCCATTAGATCTGCTGTGACATTGTATGATCCACTATTTTGCGTCGATGCTATATTATCAAACATGTTCACCCAGCTTCCTGTTGTTTCCATCTACGAAAAAGTAATTTCAAATCAAACAGAAAAATTCCTGTCATTTATTCCTAGATGGGAAGAAAATATATACAGGAACACGTCACAATCTAAGAAAACATATTGATGATAGATGTGTTTAGATTTGATATGTGCTTGAGATGGAGGTATTCTAATCTAATAATAATCAATATATTTAGAGAGAGTTATTATGTGTTTTCAAAAAGTTTATACTTGCACTTTTTTTAATCGTAAATAATGTCGATAGTGTACTTTGGTCCTTGCGAGCCCATTTGATGAAAATACAATCTCCTTCATAAAAATTTGGATCTATAATTTAATAGTTATGAAACAACTATCTATTAATGCCAAGGGAAAAGATGTCAATAATAACATTTACCTGTGTATCCTACAACAATGAACAATGGGTCCAGAAAGGGTTAAATTGCCAAAGAATTGGAGAAATTCTATATATTTTCTTTTAAATGCAAGACGTGTAAATGCATGTTGCAAAAGTGTAAGACAGAATAAAAAAGAAAGAGATACGAATATCTGACAGAATATTGCCCTGTAAATATATGACAGACTTCATCAAAAAAGTTTCATAAAACTTGTTAGATTTTCATATTCGATGGGCCTAAACTTACATAGATGTAAGCATTTATAGGTCACCAAACGGTCTTAAACAATGAGCAAAACAAAAACCGTATACCGTATACCGTATAAAACAACCACAAAATACAGAAGGGAAATATATACATCGCTGGACTTCTCCCATTCGAGATGAAAACCCATGCTTGACAGTGCGGATTGTATGAAAACAGTCATTGGCGGTCTGCATGCCGGTGCCGTTAACTATGATCCGCTTGTTAAGAATATCACGCTCTTTGCACGCCAAATTACATTTAAATCAACTCTTCGGGAAATCCCAAAGTGACCTGTTACAAGGCAAACTTCTTCAGCTATCTAATATCAAGGAATTGTATATTTTAAAGGAATGGAAACGCGGCTCGAGATCAATCGGGATACCCGTAGAGCTATAATCCATGTCTGACTTGGTCAGAAGTATGATGAATAATATAAAGAATCATGACGGTGGTCCATTTTCTGTCATATAGATCGGTCTTTTAAATTCACGGGGTCATCTTGCTTGAGAAGGTATAAAGGAGAGAGAAACCCAAAATCAAAAATAAACTTCCATTCCGTGAATAGTTAAGGCCTTAGGTATCATTTTAATGCCTCATCGAACATACGTTTGTAATATTTTATTATGAAAATTCGTATTAAAATAGACCTCAGTTTTGAAACTTGAGTGAGTTTCATCCGGATTACAAAACAAAAAATACAGTGTTTTTCTAAAAGCTCGGCAACTACGACGTGCAAAACAAAATAGTTGATATCATTATGAAGCTGAAACCTTATTCTAGCATTTTGCCATTTATTTAAGTTTCTGGTAACATTTCTGAATTTTCTACGATTTTTCGAAATTTCAGTTTTGAATTTCATTATTCTGTCAAAACACGTCTTTCAATCTGGGATTGTAATACGATTTCTTGTAAATATACATCTTATCGCTAATCCCGGCTGACCCGAGAATCTCGCTTGATCTTTTGACGTCATACAACAATCACTTTTCCATTGTGGCGTCAGATATTTTGTATTGTGACGTCAAAAGTTTACGGGAACCTGTGTGATGTTCAGTAATGGCGGACAAATAGCGATAAGGTGTATTGGAAATAGTCCAGGCAATCTATGAAAAACGTTAAACTAATTGCAACAGAATATATTATTGCTTTTATGTTATCATATGGCTACCTTATACAACATATAAAAAGTCTTTGAATATATAAAAATTGTCTAAAGGGGTCAATTTGGGGGGTGTAATTTGTGGATTTTGACTTGCAGATTTTGTCACAAAAAGATCGCCATACACACAAAGGGAGACAACTACAACAACAAGACATTTTGTCAGTATACGCATTATCTTTGATTTATTCTGTAAAAATATTTATACAATGTGAACGAAGACTTCAATTGATGGTAAGTATCCATAATAAGTCTATATATCCTTCATTATGCAAGTTACAACAACCGTTAAAGCACAAGTCATTAAACGTGAATTCCAGATTGACGTCACTACGCGTGTTTTTCACATGCTATTTTCGGCACTATTTAAGGAAGTAATCAAAACTTTTTAATATAAAATACACATATCTACAGAAATAATTGTATGTTTTTTTTTTATATTAGACCCATTTATACGTTATATTTTTAAAAAAAGTAACATTTCATCAAACGTCCTTGTCAAAAATAAAAAAAACTATGGAACGCCGTTCGCGACAAAAAACTAAAATTTTTAAAATGTATACGGATTAGAAAAGTAGAATAAATCTTATATACTGCAACATAAAATAAGAACCACTAGAAAAAAATAAATACATTATTCTAATCCTAATGTAACAAATTAATACAAAAACGCAAAAATAACAATTGTTACATGTATGATAATGATTACTTCCATAATAGCTAGATCTATATAATAAAAATAAAAATAGCAAATAGAAAATTACCAAATTATTTTCTTTTGCAGATTGTATGGATGTATTGAATGAAATAAGGAAAATTAATGCAATATCATTTATGCCATAATGAGATCTATTCCAGCGGTGATATATTAGTTTTTAAGGTAAATAATAACAAAACATAGAGTATCATGTACATTGCACAAATGTAAGAGTTAAAGAGTTAATACACTCATATAAAAATATCAAATAACAGTCTCGGCAATTAAAAGATAATCTCCTAGCCTTGGGCTGTGATTCACTGCCAGGTTAAACCATGTTAAACCAAAGACTCTTGAATTTGATGCCTTTCCGATAAGCATGATATATTTGAAAAGCAAAAGATAGGGGTCTTGGGATCAGAATTATACGACTCATGGGATATCAAGAAGACAAAGACAAATTTGGGTGAAGCTATCTGTCGGTTGTTGTCGTTTATACATGCATTTAGTGGGTGCGACACAACACCACGAGTGTTTGGGTTAGGAAAAGGAGCAATATTGAAAAACGTTAAATCATCTGCTTACTTACAAGATCAAGCACAGCTTTTCCTGAAAAAAATCAAGCAAAGCTGAGGTTGTCATAGCTGGAGAAGAAGTTTTAGTTGATCTGTACGGCGGTGTTCAGTCAGTAGAAGGCTTAGATTTACTTCGATACAGGAAATTTGCGTCAAAGGTTGTTGGAGGGAACATTTTTGTTCAAGTACACTCTCTGCCGCCAACATCTGATACAGCTAAACTACATAGCATTAGAACATTCTATCAAACACAAATTTGGATTGGAGAGGGACATGATTTAGATCCTAACCAATGGGGTTGGTATACATCAGAGAATAAACTGATGCCTGTTAAATGTATATTACTACCGGCACCAGAAAAACTGATGAAAGTAATACGATGTAACTGTAAACAGAACTGTGATTCAAGAAGATGTTCGTGCCGAAAACATGAAATTGACTGTTCTGCTAGTTGTGGCGAGTGTCATGGCATAAATTGTTTAAATTCGAGCATAGTAACACAAAGTGATTTGGACGAAATTTAGAATTTATATTGTTGTGAATAGTGAAAAACGGCAACATTAATATGATTGAAAAAAAACAAAAAAGTGTTATATGAATAGGTTGAAGGACTATTCATGTCACTTTTTGTATGAACAATAGTATGGACATTGTTTCATGAATGTGTAGCTGATATTGTTTTCCTCTTCAACTTCTTTCCAATATATCTATACATTTAGAATAACTGAAACTGTATAATTGCTTGAGTTTTTTTTTTTGCAAATTGAAGTTTAAGTACTCAATTCACATTTTTCATAATTTTTGGATGGAAATCTTATTTTTGACATGTATTATATTTTTTGGTCATGAATTTATTATTCAAAAACCCTTAATTGGCATTAAAATGCATTGAAGTGCACAAAACATTTAAGAGGCAGGCAATTCAACTTACAGTATTATTTTTATTGACTAATGCGTAATTTCAGCCATTTATTTGTAAGTTATCCATGATTTTCTATAAAAACCTGTATTTTACCCCAAAAATATTGTATTTCAGAACATCAGATTTTGCAAGACTTTTAATATGTGATAGAGGCCATATCAACCTTTAAAATGAGACCAAATTTCTTTCTGTTGCAATTTGTTTAAGGTTAGGTTTTTTTATGGCTGATTTACTGGGTTAAAAGTAGAAAGAATAAAGTGAGAAAATGAGATATCATTTTAAAGAAGAAATATTTTCCTACAGTTTGGTATAAATTACGAATGCTAAATGATATTGGTACAATGTTAATGATTTTATTTCGAAACATGTTGAAAATTTTAAGTAGTGCGTCAATAAATACACCAACACGCCGAATTCTGGTAAGGGTTAAATAACTACTTAAAATAGATGTGACATTGACATACAATTTATAAGCTTAGCCTTTTTCTATCACATAGTGTTGGTTTTATAAAAATGGTGATAAAAACAAATTTGCTATGATTTTTCAAAATTCCATGTTTATAGTTCACATTGACGCCATTTTGTTCAGTAAAGTACCACACCGACGAAGTCGGAAATTACAGGCAAGAAATGTATATAAGACTTCCGATTGGGATTCACTGTGCCGTTTTATACACGATTTTAATCATTTATTTTTTTGTCAAATACAATTTTTATACCTAATCGTTGTTTGGTATTGCAGTTTGCCATTATTAAGCTTTGCAGCAAATTACCACAAGCTTAAAAGCAAAACAGTTCCTTCCTTTTGTTCTAGAAGAGCAGTAGTCTAGAGGTCGCAAAATATTCCTTCGGTGTTAAAATAAATAATATGCGAATGTCGGAAAGTTTTAACTGTTTTTAATTAAAAAATGTATTGCACCATGGCATAATTTAGCATTTATTAACAGGTGAGCACGGCGTGATTTCTTTTTGACACCTTAAATCAAGGACAGCCTATAGTTATTATACATTGTTCCTGTTT